ATTTCTCCCAGGTTTCCTCAGGTTTTAAAAGATCTGTGTCTGAGATTTTTGATTTCACCCAGGTGTTAAAGATGAATTTCATTTTTGGTGCTCACAGCATCAACAATTTACATTTTAAAATTCAAAAGCAACATCTCTTTCCAAAAATGTGCCCTGGATGGATAATCTATCAAACACACTATAGTTTCTTTTGGACTATTTCTTTGGTAGAAGGTTGATTACAGTGAGGCTTGTAGATTATCCAGAGTAACAAGGAGCCTGTTTTTAGATGTTGCTGTTAAATGTTTCAATGCTGTGAGCACCACAAACTAAATTGCATTCACATTAATTGTATTGGGCTGGAGACAGATATGTCAAGAACTGGACAAATAAAACTACCGTATTTTCCGCACTATAAGGCGCACTGTATTATAAGGCGCACCTTCAATGAATGGCCTATTTTAGAACTGTTTTTATATATAGGGCGCACCGGATTATAAGGCGCATAGAATAGAAGCTACTACAGTCAAACGTTTGACTGTTCGAGTTTGTCCTCTAACTGTGGCCATCTCGCTTTGTTCCCTCGGAAACTCTTTTTAGTCTTCTTTACTTGGCACAGGTCATCTTCTTGCTTCCTCCACTTCCGTACCATTGATTCATTAATGTTGAATTCTCTCGCTGCTGCTCTATTCCCATGTTCGGCTGCGTAGCTGACAGCCTTGAGTTTGAACTCAGCGTCGTAAGCGTGTCTCTTGAAAGGTGCCATTTTGGGGTCTTTATACACACAAGTGGTGTTGGACTAGGAGTAAGCACAGTACCGGTGTTTACCGCTATTACTTCGGCGACGCCCCTGACTACGGTAGCCGTAATGCTGCAAGCGGTGCGGCTTTGTAGTTTACCAGTCGTACTGAAACATTTTGACAGAGCGCCGTGTACAACCAGTATAGATCAACCAATTAACCAATTGATCCATATATAAGGCGCTCCGGATTACAAGGCGCACTGTCGTTTTTTGAGAAAATTAAAGGCTTTGAAGTGCGCCTTATAGTGCGGAAAATACGGTACCTGCTTGGATAGATTCCACGAGAGGACAGTGAGAAATGTTATTTTTATTGAGGTTTTGGCAGGCAAACTATTTTTGAATCTGCCCATTTTGTCATTTATTATGGAGGATGTCTATTTTCCACGTTAGTCCCTATGATGGTCAAGCTGATGTTCCTCTGTTTTTTTTTTTCTCCTCTGTAGAAAGCTGCAATACATCTGTGAAGGATGCGAGAGTCAGTAAGAGGAAGGCCGCCGCCAATGATGAAGGACCAAAGAGAAAAAATAAAAGGAGGCCAGACCTGGAGAAGACCAGACAGTCTGTAGATGCCTTAAGAGGTCAGTATAGTGTTGTTACTATTGCCTTGCTTTTGCTGCTTTGTCTGTGAAAGCACTTTGTAAACTCTGTTTTTAAAGGTGCTATATAAATAACGTTATTATTATTATTAAATGTAAGGTTTGACCTCATCTTGGTGTAAAATTAGGATTTATATTAAGTATAACATAGGAGGGATTCATATTAGAGCTTTGGTAGCATATAATTGGTGTTACTCTGTATTAAAACATAATATGTGTTTGTCTGTTCAGCTGAATTTGAGGCCAAATACAAACAGCAGGATCAGCTTGGTGAAGGAGGATATGGAACTGTCTTTGGTGGCTATCGCAAAGCAGATAATCTACCTGTAAGTGTTACACACACACAATCTTGCACACACACACACACACACGATATGGTCAGGGAGTGCTAACACAAGTCTTGTTTGTATCTCGTAGGTTGCCATCAAACACATTGCCAAGGAGAAAATTGGCTGCAAACACGTGGTGAGTGAGCAACACCTGCTGCTGTTAAAATCTTCTGTATTCAACACTGTTTCTGAATGTATTATGGATGAATCATGGTTGTCTCTCATCCTCCACTCTGTTGTGATGTTTCAGGATGAAACTGGGAAGCAGCTGCCCATGGAGGTTGTCATCATGTTGAAACTGGCGGACAAAAGAAGTAGATCAGTGCGGATGTCAGCACCCGTGTCTCTATTGGAGTGGTACGATCTGGACCAGGAGGTGATCCTGGTGCTGGAAAGACCGATCCCCGCTGAGGACCTATACGACTACATCAACCACAACGGAGGCTCCTTAGAAGAGCAGGAGGCCAAGGTAAGCTGCTGGAGGATCCTTGTGTGTCTTTAACTTTTTACAGGAACTTGGAGACTACCTAAAGGATTCATTTTGCAATTTAAGGTTTATTTTCCTAGTTTTTAGGTCATTGTTTCTGTTGATCATGGTAACATTGTAGTCACCAAAGTAATTGTTCTGATGGATCAAGAAACAGTAGTGGAGGCAGTCAAACAGTTGGTAGACAAAGCTCCAGGTCAACTAAACTTATTTGGAGGAGAAACATAAACAGATGTGGTTTTACCCAATCTACTGAAAATCTCTTGTGCATTTCAGTTTCTATGGCTGAAAGATGGTTTTAGAAACGTTGGGTTCTGTAGTTGTAGTCAGCTCAGAGTCACAGCCATGAAAACATGTCAAACCATCCTCCTCTGTGATCCCTCATCTCTCTCTCTCTCTCTCTTTGTCTGTCAGATCATACTAAAACAGCTGGTAGATGCAGCAATTGACCTTGAGGAGAAAAAGATTTTCCACCGGGACATTAAGGCTGAAGACATCTTGATTGAGACCAGCTCGGACGTCCTGCGAGTTCGCCTCATTGACTTTGGTGTGGGCTGCTTCATCAAGAGAGGAGCCTGTTATCGCAAGTTATACGGTAAGATGTCTGGCTTTACTCCTGCTCTTCACTAACTTACCCATCTGTGATTTTTACATTTAGACACAGGTCCTCATCCTCATCGGCTTATTATTTCTGTATATTCTAGGTACCCCTGATTTCATCCCAGAGTGGTTTTCTCTTGGTAGGTACAGAGCCGGACCCACCACAGTGTGGCAGATGGGAGTGGTCCTCTTTGATACACTCCACAGTGATGCAGCTTTTGAGACCACGGAGTTCTTGAAAGACCGTGTGAGAATCAGCGAGACGCTGTCCGAAAGTAAGAAAAACATACTCACGAACATGTCAGCAGAAACATATCTGTTGATTTCAGCTGACATTCTGATGGATCACTGTAGCCGTCACCCTCACCTTTCTTCTCCTTCTTTCTCTCCAGATTGCCAGGATTTCTTGCAAAGATGTTTTATCACAGACCCCAAACAGTGTCCTACCCTGGAGCAGCTCAGAACTCACCCATGGCTCAATAATACTAACACTACACACAGACAGACAGACAGTTTTATGTACTGGGTGAGTCAGACAGGAAGGAGAACATGAGGAACTCCATCGTCATTCTGCAGGACAAGGTTATGGTACAAAAGAACATCCTGTTAGTAATTGGAATTATTATATTAATATTATCTAATGTCATGCATAGGTGTCATTCAAATACTAATGCTGCTCAATCGTTGACAGGAAGGAGAACGTGAGGAACTTCTGCTTTTGCAGATCTTGTAGCACACCCAGCCGTCCGAGGAGAGGGGATCTCTCTCTGAATTGCCTTTCCCGAGGTTTCTTCTCATTTTCCTGCATCGGGATTTTGGGGAGTTTTTCCTCGTTTTCTTAGAGAGCTTGGGCTGGGTCAAATGATTCAGTATACAATGTGATATTTAACACTGAACAATGAAAATAAACTTGAGTTTTAAATGAACTTTCAAGCTCTTTCCTCCATTATAGTCAAAGACACATGGTATACGAATAAATAATATTGACAGCAATGATCTTGAAAAACTGAATTATAAGTGAATCAGGATTTGTAGATAAAGGACACAGTGTTTACTTTTTAGGTCCGATTACATTTTAGGTCCGATTAAAAGTGTTTCAGCTGTACGGTCAAATAAAGGCAAAAAAAGCCCCCCAAAACAAATCATTCAAAGCAAAGGTATAAGGAGGTTTACATAATAATCATGATTAAAACATAATTATATATTTAAAAAAGTTCAGGAAATTAAAAGTACTACAAAAAAACTACTCAAAAATAGAGTGAAATCAACAAACAAAATGGATGAGACACTATAGAGCAGGAAACCAATAAAACATGCAGTTAATGTAAATAAAAGGTGTATTTAAGAGGTTTTGAGGAATGATTTAAAATACTCAGCAAACCTCAGATCTTCAAGCAGGGAGCTCCAGAGCTGAGAGGCCCTGACAGCTGAGACCCTGGTCGACTGTGGTCTCGATCCAGGATTTAGGAGCAGCCAG